CTCACCTGGCCAAAGTACGGGGGACATATTTCCCAGATTGTGGGTGCCCTTTATACTTTTGGAGTCAGAAATCTAATCCTGTCACAAAAACGATGCGCTTATTCAGGGAAAGACAGTGCGCAAAATGAGAAAACGGACCACCTTAAATAACTTTTGATTTAATGATCGGATCTTCACGTTCTAGGACTCAATCTTAATGGGGGGGGGGACCTCAAATATGCAGATTGATTAGTACAGACGATATTTTAATTTACGCAATCAGACACGAAAGCGTACTTTATCTGAATAAACATATATGGTTTTAATAGTTTGGTTAGGAGAGGGATCCAAAGTTTGGAATCCATACAGTTAATTTTACTTTTTGTATATTTTGTGTATTATAAAACTTTTTGCACGCATTTATAAAATTTCATTTTTCAAAGATAATTTTGTGCAAAATATAACATTTAGTAAATATACGCTTAAAGAGTTATATGAGGTATGGAGAAGAGTTATGGTGATAAACGAAAATGTCAAACTAACACTAAAGGATTCAAACTATGGTCCACTCATTTGACCTACACTTGGGAACATATTTCCCAGATTGCGGCCACCCTCTGTATATTGGGGGTCAGAAATCCGATCTGCAGAAGAAAAGGTATGTTTATTCAGATAAAGTATAATTTGCGTCTGATTGTAACTTAAAATGCCGTCTGCACTGATTACATAGCATATTTGAGGCTACCCACTGGAGCGATTATGATTGAGTCCCAGAACGTGAAGATCCGATCATTAGATCAAAAAATATTCATAATGGTCGGTTTTTTATCTTGCGGCCTTAACATTGTACATTATCTTAAAATCTTTAACACGCAAACTCTTATTTAACGCATCTAACATTTTCCTTAGCTTTTAAATGACGATATACTGATAAAAAAAATATCTTGGAATAATTCAAAATTTAAAAGAAAAGTTCATAGATAAAAGTTTTACGCAATATAATGACAAAACACAAGCTATAATTAAGCGTCTATGGAGATCTTAATCAGCCCATTTATAGCATCATTACACAGGAAAATTAGGGAGTAGAATTTTCACCTTAAATACAATATGCGTAGTATTAGCGACAAAGATATAAGTGCTTTATTCATTTTGTATAAACACAAAATATGATACAGATGACTGCATGCTATAAGTCATGCTACTTTATTTATATTTTTTTATAGTTCTTCTAGGTTTTAGTATCTATGTTTTATTATATCTTTTTTAATTGCTTTTTCTTTTAATTCAAATACTTGTGAGTGCTGTGGCTGACTAAACTTTTTTAACATCTTGCGTCAATAATTATTATTTATCGGCAAATTTTGATTTTAAATTACACTACCCATAAAAAAATAGTAAGATAAAAAATTCTCAGCGATATATTTTATTGAATTTCTGAAATATTTCGCCAGGAATTTTGATTTTGTTTTCTAAGAGTTCATATTAACTGACAAAAATCTCTGCATTTCTCTAAATGATTAACAGACAAAGATACAAAATTTCGTCATATTTTTTAACAAAATATTATTTTCACTCTTAGTCAAAGTAATATGGACCTTTGGCTGTTACTTAAACCCAAAACGATGCAATGGTTACACTCTCTTCCGGTACTGTTATAGTGAAGTAATTGAGACAGTTGGAATTACTACAAGCCAAAGGCACTCTGCAGGATATGGAGCTGTGATTTTACTAATTAGCATCAGAGTTCAGTCGGGGTTATATTAATATGCTGCAGTGTTTACTGTATTTAGCTTCTTTCAAGTTTTATGTTTTATGCGCAAAGATTGTTTTATGAGCAAAGATTATTCTTCTTTCATAAAGTAAGTGCATAGATTTATTTATTATAAAACACTTTATAAATTTTTATTGGGAATTGTAAGTAAGGGATTACTTTTAAACAAGTTTGAAATTGACTATCTTGTTTAAATTCAAAACGTTGCCTGAAAATAAAGTTGCGCATGCTCAAATATTTTTCTGATTAACCAGAAGAATAATGACAAATCTTCATCCGATATCGTGAAATTTTCTAAAAGGAAAGGTGCATTTTGGGACATTTATGCATATAAAAATCGTTCATTGGTTGCTAAATTTGAGTATACTGACGTAAAGGAATGAAATATGAGTTCAATCATTTCAAATCCAGGGCTACCTAAACTTAAAAATAATTATTTGATATATAATACAAGATTGTTTTAACAACTGCTTTAAGTGGAAAGTATTAAAATTAAGAAAAAAAAGTAAACTATAAAAATATAGCAAGGTAAGAAAATAGATTTTATTTTATATTTCATTTTATATTTTTCAGCCGACCCGAATCTGGATTTACAAACATCAATGTTCAAATCCGTAGCCTTGTAGTTAGAACCCAACCCATAAGACAAGGACATTCCAGGATCAAATTCTGGGACAAAATAGGCTTCCTTTAGGACTTTTTCGTGGAACTAACTCACATTTGCGCGTTACATACAGAGAAAAACGACAAAAATCACTCTCGCTTGGCCCGAAGGCAAGAGATTTCAACCACTGAGCATATTTTACTTCAGTTCTATGCTGGTGGGTGCGAGTCCGGAGCATAATTGGTATCAATCAGCCACAGCTGAGATTCGAACCTGCGTGACCTCATTGGCAGGCAACCACGCTATCTCCTTAGCCTCCACGGCTCAAGAAAAATTATTAATTTTCTTTTCTGGATTTTTTATGTTTATTTTAAAATGAAGTTCAAAAGAGATCTGGAAAAAACAGGGTCCAAGTTACCCTAATGTATAGCATGTTTAACATTTTCTTCTAATAACATTATTAAGAAACTATTTCATAATAACAATTCCAAAATTAAATGGGTCAAAAAGAGTACGATAGAATTTTTTCCAAAATTCTTATTTCGATTTCAAATAATATTTTAAATAAGTTAGTATACCAAGAAAACAATTTTATACCTGCATGCCAAATTCACGATAAAAAAATACATTAATCATTATACATTTATATGCAAAAATAATATAGTTCGACATTTTATAGATCTTTAATCCTCTTAAAAACAATATATGATATATAATTGGAAATTCCTGGGCCATTTCAATTAAACTTTATTATTATAAATAATGATTATTTCGGAGCAGTTTTAAATAAACATATAATTATTATGATTTGTCAGTTTGCGTTCGCAATGTAATGCCCTATAATTTCTTCCGTTTCCAGTTGATAACAAGACAATTGCTTTTCCTTTGAACACGTGAAATCACTTTAATATAATGAGAGACTACTCCTGACATCCAGAGCATCTCTAATAAGCTAAAAGGTAAAAGCTATTTTCCCCTAAATATCCTATTCATTAAAACAGTGATTTAAATTTTAAACTAAATGAATGTTTCACGAAACCTTCAATTGTATAAAATTTTAAATTTTTAATCAATTGTTCTAATCCCCATTTATTTCAAAACTGAACATTCAAATGAAATAAGTGAGGGGAATTCTCGTTTGTATAAATAAGTAATTCATTAACTTTAACCCTTTTGTCGTCATTGGGACACATGTAAAAATATCCCGTCGCCGTTTTCTAGGTCTGTGCCATATCAAATTTTCCCCTTTTAAATGTAAACTGCATTTTTTTTTTCCTTTTTTTTTTGGAAAAAGCGTTGCGAGGTTTTCAATTATATGTTAACCTAAGAATTTTAATTATAAATATTCAATTAATATTTATGAAACTTTTTAAGACTACTTTTCTAAATTGAAGTATCCCGGACTATCTCAAATTGAATCCACGGGTTTGAATTCTCTTATATTAAAATTATTCAGCACTGCTCTTTATCCGCCGAACTTAATTTTTGGGAATCATTTAAACTTTCGAAAAATTCTAATAATTTAGTTAAGGATCCTTCTAGTATCCCATCGTTTCTGAATGTTTGGAAGCTTATTTTAATATATTCTGTTGCACCCTGGGTTTATAGCCAAATCCCTTCACCCCTATTTCTTATCACAGCTTTTTAATTCCTTGTTATAGATAGATTAAACCTATAGGTCCTATTGGTAAAACCACTTTGCACGTGTTTGTCTCTTAACTTCTCCTCTGTCATTTGACGTTTAGACACTGACGAAGGTTCCTGTTCATAGAACTGACACTACAGTAAGTCCATTTATGCAATATTATTTGTGCTTTATTCACTTTGTTTTCTGATTTAGTCTACATTGGTACAAAGTATACTCTAACCTTTGCTACTGGACCAACTACCTTATTCAATTAAAATGTTATTGCTTGTCAAAGTTCTCTAAGTCATTTTAACCCCTTAACTTGTGCACTCGAGTTAATTCGAGCACGCTGAACAAGCCAAACTGTGCACACTCGAGATAATTAGATCAGCGTTGTATTTCATGCTGATATATTTTTCCCACTTGAATATAATCGAGAATTGAAAATAACAATGTGAAAGCTAAGAAAAAAAATCGTTTTATTGATATTTATCATTTACTTAGGATTGTAAGCTATGACACTTATTTAATCAAGAATAAAATATACAGAGATGCCAACTTGCTCCAGACAGCAAATATATATTTTAAAGTGGTAGTTTATTAATTGTGATTCTTGCTTTAATAAATTCAATTTAGTAGATTTTTATCCACCACTATTTCCAAATAATTCGGAGGCTTACATAATTTACTATTTCATAGTACTTATGTCGTGCTATACCTTTTAAAAAGCAAGCAAAAATAACCAAATGCTTGCAAAATTTACTTCGTAGTTATTAACCATTCCTTTAATTATTTTGGCGTGTCAGAAGTAGTTGGCATCTCTGAATATAGCCTTTTTCCATGTAACAAAAGCGCAGTATATCAAAATTTTCCTCCAAAAGAAATGGCAATGTTCCAAAATGTGTTTTTTTACATAAAAAAAGTTTGGGCCCGTTTTTTTCAAAAACTCTGTGCGTTAAGTAGTTAATTTTGCTCATTTATTTGAAAATACTAAGGATTTATAGAATGGTACATACCTGCTGTTTAGTAATGTAAATGGGTCTGTTTATAACTATCCACGTCACGGTTTCGTAGCATCCTGGCATAGTTGTAGATCCCTCATATGTCATGTAATAAGGGGTATCAGGCATTAAATCACGTAGTGATAGAAACTTCAACTCAGCTTCTTGACCTAAAAATGACAAAAATTTATTTTGATGCTTCTTAAATTGAAATTATATTTTATAATGTAAAGAAATAAAAAAAAGCGAGAAATGAGAGTTGTTTTGCATAACGTATCATCAATAAATTATTCAGATATTCAAACTTTGTACTGTGAAGAACAGTATGGTCAAAACTACCAGAATGTGGTAAAAATCACCTTGTTTCTGACTCTATTGGAACACTAAACACTGGGAGCACTTTCAATCATTTTTTTTTCAATTTTGAAAATTCAGCAAAGCAAATATTAATAAATCTATTATGAATTGTTCAGTCTCAAATTAATTATTAAATTCCATTTCCTAGTACATAAATTGCCGATCAAACTCAACTTTACAGATTGAGGTATTTTTGAAAAATTCAAAATGTATTGTAAATTTTAAAAAGCTTGACTATACGCTACTATTAAGGTATCCGACTAGGTCTAGAACGTCAATTTTAACAAAAATTTTAATTTTTTCTAATTCACTAGTTTTTTTCTCCACACACTTCTGTTTCTAAAACTGTTTTATTTGTGAAGATTAGCTAACTAGAAATGAAATTATTTTAGAATAATATTAGCAACATATACCACAGAAAACTTGAAATGTAAACTTTAAACACGTTTATTGAAAAATCTATTTTTGAGTAAATTTAGCATTCGTAAAACATTATATCTTAAAAACTTACAAAGAAATCAAGTTAAAATTTTTCACAGTTATTAATTAATGTTTTGTGAAGGCAATGATTCACTGATAAATGTGTATATAGCATGATTGTTATTTTAGAGGTTTTTTTTTTAATTGCTACCCAAAAAATTTGAAGAATTTTTGTGTTGTAGCATTCAAAAGATTATGACTTTTCAAATTTTTAAAATTTTTCTTAGTTTTGGGGTCATTGCCTTCTCCTATGTCATAAAATGATACATGTAAAAGGAAAACTAATTATATTAAATTTATTTTGTGTTAGAGTGTTTTGCGTTATTCCATTTTTTTGCCGATTTTTTACCAAAAATGTACCATTTCTAATATTTTTCATGCTTGTATCGTTGTTTTATTACTTTTGTAACAAATTTTAAGCTATGATGTTTTAAAAAATGTACAAATAATATTACATAACAAAAAATTTAAAAAAATGCCTCCGCACCTAGGAAAATAAAATTAATACCTTAAAAAAAAATTTATAATTTCAAGAATATTAAACATACTAGATGTTTAGAAGATAATTAGATTCGTGCAGTATTCAATAATCACCATTGATCTTTTAATATTGATTTGTAAAACAGAAAATTTAAAAATTGCTATACAAACGTTTTCAAGTACTCAACTCTATAATGCTGTTATAAATCATGTCTAACACAAAACTAAAAGGGCCATTCAAGTCCAATTTTATCATGAACAAAACAAAACAGCACTGTAAAGAATTTTTGATCAAATTAAGGTATAAAGTATCGGCAATCAGGGTGTCTTTATTTTTGACAGTAAAATCCATTTTTACCGCAAAGTTCAGAGAAGCAAAAAGAAATCTGATGTACGGGATTTTTACAATAATATTTACTTTAAGATCATTGAATCACTGTAGTCAAATGATCATTTGGTGAAACAATGACGTTTCCTCATTGTTTCACCAAATGAGCAAAATTAATATTACTGTAAAACATACTGTAAAAAGTAAAAATTACTCTAACAAATTCACTGTAAAAGTGGATTTTAAAGTAAAATTAATTACACGACTGCTGCGCTCATGCTTCACCGTAATTGTTATTCGGAGTTTTCACTTCAAAAGTCTGCGGTTCATCAAAAACAAAATATTCGAAGCATACAGCGTAAATTTAATGCAAAAATTTAATTTTATTACACAAAAGTGAACTTAATCTTCATTCATTTTTAAAATCTTTAACAGCCATTATTTTAATAAATACAATAATCCTGATTATAACATGGATGAAAGGTACATACCATAAGGCAGATATCACTCTAAAATCTGTTATGCGATCATCATTAAATTACAGAATGGTGGTATTACACATTTCCCTCTCAAAATTCTTTGTTCTTATTTTTCTATTCTTTCCATGTATCGTATCTCAAGAATAATTTAACAACAAATTTAAGATTGCTATCAGTGCTAACCATGGGTCAAAAATTTGTGAAAGATATTAAAACTGTGCTTAACTTAGAAGACGCTTGATGCTTCAGGTAATTACAACACAAGCTTGCTATGTGAAGCAAGTTAAAATCAACAGCTGTTGGGCGTCGTTTGGTTTATGGGGCATTAAAATAATTTTTTTATTATTATATTCATGGTGAAAAGCAGAATGCTTTATAATTTGAATTTATTCATTCAACCCCTTTGTTAAACGAAACAGTAAAAATGCATCTCAATTTCTCATTATGTATTTTATCGTAAGTCAGATTTACCACACAACTAATTAGCCATAAGTTAAGTAAAAATATTCTTTTCAGATTTAATGAAAGTATATTTTCTCTTTTGACAATTTGAGACTTCGAAATTACCATAATTTTGAGAAGTGGGAATTAAGTAATTTTGATCCATAATAGATTAAACCCATTAATAAACGAGTGCTAAATCCTAAAAATATTTTTTTCTGTGTAGTTACTTCTTATTCTTTAAAAACGTGTAAAAAAAATTTCTTCCTATACAAAAAATTTATTAAAAAAGCATTCCGTATTTAAAGTATTATAACAAAAAAAGAAACAGAAAAACACTAAAGGGTAAGTTTTTTTGTCAAAAAAAAACAATGTTCTTTTATATTATTATGTTTTAATATCTAGTATTGCTATCCTAGTATTGCATTCTAATATCCATCAGTTAAGTAATCTATGAAAATTTTAAATTCTGTTATTAACGTTATTGTTAAGCACACGATGAAAAAACTCTGATAAAATAACCATACTATAGGATAATGACATTTCTGGAGGAAAAAAAACTTAATTCTGATGAATAAAACCAAAATACATGGTATTTGAAAATTTATTTGGTATATCACGGTATTTGAACGCGGTATTTCATTTCAATTTCTATTCATATGGTAAAGGCTTACCAGAAATTCTGGTTTTCAAAATTATAGTTATTATTACTACACATTTAGTAAAGAATTAATAACTGAGAAGTATATTTAAATAAATGATTTTGATGTCATTTTCTAAGGTATCATGATAAAACTACCTAGTTTTATTATTTATTATTAAACCATATTTTTGTTAATTTTACAAAAATCATTACCAAAGTACTTCGATGAAAATTACCAAGCATTTTGGTATTCCCGTAGATTCAGAAACGCAGTAAATTTTGTCCTATCCTAGTATTTTTGAACAAACTTTTTTCCTGAGTGCAATTCAAAGGAAAAAAAAAGAAGAATGCAAGCAAATTACATCGAAAAAGGTATCTCACGTAATTTTTGAATAAAAATCACCCGTAATCTTTGAATAAAATGTTTTATTGGTGTATTTTCAGTTAAGTTGCAGGGAAATCTTTTAATACAGTTATTACTGAAATCATAGTACAAACAAACAAAAGAGTGCGAATTCATTGAATGATATACATATAAAAATATGAAATTTTTTATACATTTCAATCTGATTATCAGAGAATCAAAATCCTATGAGGTTTATTGCTTACTTATTTGCTTACTTTGAACTTATTGATTGAAATACGATTGAAATACTATTATAATTATGTTTCGAATTAAATAGTTGCCCCAAGGGCAATGTTAAGGCACAGAACAAACAATGTTATTTTTGAATAAATTTCAGATTAGAAATCCTGAACGGTATGAAAGTTCTTTTTCGGAAAAGTATAATAAGGTTTCTTTGTAGTAAGAAGTTTTCTGAAAATACTTGCTTATATTCTTATTGAAAGAAAACAGAAAGATTTTAAGCAACTTCTGCTTTATCTTCTTGCAATAAATCAAGTTTTGAACTATAATCTGTCATAATGTAATTAACGGAGCTTACTTTGTTTCATCAAAGCAAGGGTGCTGAAATTTTATGCTTGAACTTTGCCCGAACAGAAATATGTAAATGAGATCGATTTCTGGACGAACATGATAAATGAGAGTTAAATACTTTTCCCACGCCTACTGACAGTTAGCATTAAATTGTCTTAGTATTACTATGCGAACCACACATGGAAAAGTTTATAAATTAAGCAGTTAAAAATTGGTAGGAAAACAATTTCAGGAAACAAAGATGTTTAATTATTAATTTATTTGGGTATTTGGAAGGCTTAATGAACCATCAACAATGAATTTATCTAAACGTTTTCTGAAAGGAATTAAATTAGAGATAATTTCTCATTAACAAAATTTATTTTTAGAAGTTCTAGTGTGTTTAGACAAAGTATGATGTATATTTATTTGAAGTTGTATAAAGAGGCCTACTTATGTCAAATGTAGCAAACTTTGTAACACCAATATAATAATGATTTAAACAATCGGAATAGTTAATTCTTAAAAGAAAATTTACAAAAAAAAGGAAAAAGACAAGGAAAAAACTATTGAAAATTAAATACAGAATTAGATTTCAAATATGATATTAAAAATATATCAGGAAATGAGAAATTTGCATTGTCAAGAATGCATTAAAAGAACGCATAAGTTACGTATGTTGCATAAAGTTAAATGTGTGAACTTTATGCAGGATTTAATAAAGCCTTCCAAAATAAATTCATTGTTTCCAAAATGGGATTACATAAAAACGGGATAGATAATAAATTCATTTTTGCGGAATTTAAATGCGGAATCTTATAATGTTCAATATTTTAAGTAATATACAATATAACGTACAAATGACACTGATTATCCGCTCTGTCAGTTGTAGGAAATTAATGGAATTTAGTTATTTGGAAAATTTTTCCATTTTTAAACACGAGTGTTTCAATCTGTATAGAGAAAAAAAATCAATGTTTTTTTTAAAATATTGTCATGGATGATCTGCAATTAGCATGAAGACAGCGAATTTTCAAAAGCCAGCA